AGACAACCCAAGATTAACAGATTTGACAACAGGACCCAGAAGTATCCAAAGTAAAACAAACCTACAAAGCTGAAAATAGGGAATCAGAGCTATCCATTTGAAACTAAGGAAAAGAGGGACTAGCGTAGTTATCAAAATTCCAAATGGAGAGAAAATCAAGTCGTTATACACTTGCTAACGTGAATGGAGGGGGAGGCAATAGGTGATAAGGGTTGTTAAGTGCCATTAAGTCCGTTCTGACACCTAGCCACTCTTTCTACAACAGAATGGAACACTGCCAGGTCCTAAACCATCCTCAGAGTAGCTATTATGCTTGAGCCCATTGTTGGGCTAATGTACCAGTCCATTTCATTTTCTTCTTTTTCACTGACTCTCTAATATACTAAGTGTGATGATCTTTCTCAGACCCCAGTCTCAGTAAGAAAGAGGTCAGCAAAATGGTGACGGCAGGGGAAGACACAGGGAGGAGTGCAAGAGTTAGAGGCAACAGAGAGCAGTACTGTTAGGTAGACAATCCTGCAATAACGGTGACCTATGAGTGGCTACGTGGATCGACACACAGGCTGAATGAATGTGAGGCGGAGAGTGGGAGTATACCCACAAATATTGTGTATTCATTTGTTTGTTTAACAGAGAATATCTGTACTCACTTTTGTTGCAAACATATTCATGAATATGGTGGAGCATACAGAAGGCAATTATAAAAACTCCTGAGACATAGTCTGGCATCTTGAGGGCACACCTTGGCCAATGAAAACCTTATGGATACCATGATTTGATATGCAACTGACCATGGTCATTGTGCAGGACCAGGCAGTATTTCATTCCATTGTGCACAGGGGCCCCTGGGTTAACTCCAAAACAGATAACAAACTAATATCCAAAACCAACAATAATGTGTTTGCTTGTTTACTGAGGCAAAATTCACATAACATATAAAGCATACACTTCAGTGGCATTTAGTACATACACGAAGTTGTGCAACCATTCCTTTTTATTTAGTTCCAAGATATTTCCATCACATTAAAAGGGAACCTGGTATCTCTATTAGCCATCACTCCCCATTCCCAACTCACCTCCTCCTACCGATCACTCATCTGCTTTTTGCATGTACGGATAATTTGATGTCATCTTCACATTATTAGGAGTATCTAGGGAAGGTATGATGCTTTGTTTTATCATAGAGAACATAGAATTGGAGTAGTAGGCAATGCTCCAAATGACCTAGAGCCTGGAGAAGGTTAAGGACTGGGGACAGTAAAGGGCTCCTGGTACTAATTAGAGCAGAGAGGGGAGACCCTGAGGCTGTACTTGGGCATAGGCTTAGCCTTGAATGCGGTTGAGGAGCACCGAGGCTGGCATAGAATGAAGGGGTGAGAATGATGCAAATGGCTCATGTACGTAGATGGTAAATGAAAGGTTGATGGTTCAAGTCCAACCAGAGGTGTCTAGAAAGAAAGGCTTCTACCTTTCTTGATGATCTACCTCCAAAAAGCCAGCTACTAAAAACCACAACAAAGTAGAGCACAGTTCTACTCACATAAGGACACCATGAGTTGGAGTCCAGTCTGCTGGTTACCTGGCAACCTCTCCATTTTACAGATGGGGGAAGTGAGGAAGGGAGGCTTTCTTGGGCACCAGGAACAGAGCTAGACACAGAATCCAAGCAGTTGACACTCAAGATAGGGGAGTTGCCACCAAACTCTGCTGCCTCTTCGCAAAAGACCACGGGGGAAGGGGTCTGCGCTTTGTCTTGGAAATCGATCCTTTCAGCTGCAACGGCTGTAGAGATAGAAGGTCAATTTGGAGATAGAATTGCTCTGCAGCCTCCAAGCCTCAAACCCCACCTCCCCACCTCCCCGTTCTGACTCCCTCTTCTTCCCCACCTCCAGGCCCTGGCCTCTTGTCGGGACACTCTAGACCACTGCTTTAAGGAGCGACTCCAAGCTGTGGAGTTAATGAATCAGCCACTAGACAAGGTTCTGGAGCAGGCTGGCCGTCACTCATGGCTTGACCTCTCCAGAGTCCCCACCCCGCGCATTCAGGGCCAGAAAACGCCACCTCCAGATCCCGTGGGCACCTATACTCCAGGTACCCATTAGACACCACTTGGTCATTGGTGCACCTTTTCCCCACCCACAGCTGCCCCTTTCCCTCAACCAAATATGAGAGCTGAAAGCGAGTCCTCAGTGGAGTTTTGCGATCCTACTTCCACGCTGGGGAGTGGTCCATCTTTCCTTGGCAAAGGAATCCCTTCTCTACTTCTACTGCAACCTACTGAAGATGCTACTGGCTCTCTCCCCTAGACTTCCTCCCATTCCTCCCTGCCTTGGGAAAGACCCCTCGCTCAGAGGTCTCCACTACCTGAGACTAGAGGAGGTGGGGTGCACATAGCCAGCCTCTGGGGGGCCATGGGCTTGGTGCCCCATCTGCGTGCATCTGCTCTCCTATAGAGTGCGCAGCCACGTTGAATGAAGCCAAGCAGTTGTTGATGGAGTCCAAGGATATGTTGATGGACATGGCCAGGAACGAGGAGCATGTAATGGAGCAGCAGCGGCAGATCAGCGACCGCGTGAGCGCCACACTAGCGCAGAAGATGCGCGAGACCATGGAGCTGAAAGTGAGTGACTGCAGCTGGGGAGTCTTGGGGCTGGGGCATCAGAAGGGCTGGGGGCGGCCAGGCGACCGCGCGCTTGCCTCCGTGTCTCCAGGAAAAAATGAACATGACCTTGGGACTCATGAGGGGAACGATCAACCGGTGCACAAAATTCAACCAAGAAATGTACATCACCCGTGGCCTCATCAAGGTATACCTGGAGGAGGTGGGCGGGGGTGGGGTGGGGGCCCGAGGACATGTCCTGGCCGGTGGGCCTCACTGCTCTGCACAACACCTTCCAACCAGGGCCCCTTGTTGAAAAGTCACTTGGAGACTCGAGAGAAGCTAGACAGACCCCTGGTTCGCGCGTACCAGAGACACGTGGGCACCCAACTCCCCGAGGCCACACGCCTCGCTCAGGTTTGCTCCTCTCTGCCCTATCCTGGCACTGGCCTTCCCTGGCAAAGCACCTTCCCGGCACACACCTGGCCCAGGTAACAATTCCCACCCAGGTCGCCTCGTTTTCAAACCTTTCCCACGTGGGGCCCTGGATCACCCACTTACTCGGCTTAAGTAAGTCCCTCCAATCTTCCCCTGCTCCCTCACCAAGGCTCTGAGGTTGCAGTCACACCTTATCCTGCTTGGGGAGAGGCGGGCATCGCAGGTCTCTTCCACTGGCACACGAGGCCCCGGTGGGGCCCGCCCCGGGCTCTCCAGCACGGTCCCGCCCCTCCGCAGGGAACGGACCAGCTGCACCGCCACAACGCGCACATGGAGAGGAACCTGCGTGAGCTCCAGGACTCGCACCGCAACCTCGCCTGGAGCCTCAGCAGCAAGCAGAAGGGCTACGAAATGGACTACAACGTGGTGCGCCTGCGCCTGCGCCAGCGACACCCGCATGTGTTCTACGAGCAGGCGCAGCGCCTGGTCAGTGATTGGGACCCGAGCACGCCGCAGCGCCGCAAGCATCGCACCGCCCACCAGTGACAGGCGCGCCTTGGGCCCTACAGGCCTGTCTGGCATGACATCGTCCTTGCCCTCCCTCTCTGGACCTACCCTTCCGCAGAGAGCCTGCTGGCAAAATTGTAATTTAATGAACAATAATTATCATTTATTAAGCACCTACTCTATGTAAATTTGTGAGGACAATGGTGGTTCAGAGGTCCCTGGGGGTACGGATGGGGAGGTGGGGCTTGCTTTGGACTGCTTTCCATGACAAATCTAAAAGTTGAAGGTTCACCTGGAGCAACTCATGAACAGAGAGGTCTGCAGGGCTGGCCCCGGTCAGAGTCAAACTGACCACCACACCACCACCCCACCCCCCAGAAGTATTTCCTACAGAGGACAACATAAACCTACAGGTTGGAGAGAGGGGCCAGCCTGCCACACCCATACAGAAGCAAACCAAGAAGGAGAAAGAGAGATTGAGGGACTAAACCCCATACTGGCACACCAAGCCCTGAGGGTGATGTCCCTGAACGGTGCTGCTAAGGCACCGAGAGGACTGTAGGGCTGACAACAGCTCTAGACATGATGTCCCCTCACTGAAGCATACTGAGACAGAGGACAATCCTGGGGACACACAGCAGGGAGTTAGTCCAGTCTGACCACCCCCACAATGGGGTGATCCAAGAAGGGAACATAACATCAGCAATGGGAGCAAAGCTGAGCCACAAAACCCCTGAGGAACCCCCAAAATAGACTTCAGGCTAGGAGGGGCAGTTCCTGGACACACACACACACCCAACCAGTGGGGAGATAGTCATAAAGGTCAGCAGACAGGACCTGGAATGATGGATGCTTTTTCTTTTGTTTGTTTTTTCTAGTGTTTTTTCTTTTTTTGTTTTTCTCTTTTTATTCAATCTTTTGTTTTCTTTTTGTTTTGTCTCTGCCATTGTTGTTTTGCCCGCCTATAGAAGATTGGCACGGGAAGCAAGCCCGAGGAGAAAGCAATGGGACTGAAGGTTCCAGAGGGACTTGGGAGAAGGAGGAGGTGGGGAAAAGGAGCAGTGAGCAAACAAGGCCATATAGACAGGGGAACAACTAGGGAATTAGAAGCAACAACAAAGAGAACGTAGAGGTCCTGGGGGTGTTGGAGCAACAGCAATCTAGCTGAGAGGAATCACTAAGAGGCAGAAGAAGGGCAAGTGTGATGGTGGGCCAGGTGGAAGGTAAAAAGGAAACAGAGGAAAGATCTAGGAAGCAAAGCTATGGATAGAGGTATAAATATAGGTGTGCACTTATGTAAAAATATTAATTCATAAAAATAGAGGTATTAGTCAATGTACATATATTTACAGGGGAATGCATTGAAGAAATGGACAGACTTTGGGCCTCTGCTCAAGCCCTCCCTCAATGCAAGAACACTGTTCTAACAACCTGGCATTCTGTGGTGTTCACCCTCCAGACAAGATCGCTGAAGACAAAAATGGGTGCGTAAGCCAATGTGGTGAAGAAAGCAGATGGTGCCTGGCTATCAAAAGATATAGCATCTGGGCTCTTAAAGTCTTGATGTTAAACAAGTAGCCATCTAGCAGGGAAACAAGCCCACATGGAAGAAGCACACCAGCCTGTGCAATCATGAGGTGTCAACGGAATCAGGTAACAGGCAAAAGAAGATCCAAAACAAAACAAAAACATATTGTTGACAATGAGGGGGGTCGGAGCAGAGACCCCAAACCCATTTATAGACAGTGGGACATCTCCTCGCAGAAGAGTCACAAAGAAGGGCGCAGTATAGCGTCAATGAAACACAACATTCCTCTGGTTCTTTGAGGCTTCCTCACCCCCCACTATCATGACCCCAGGCCTGCCTTTCAGTTCTGGCTAGACCGGAGCATGTACACTGGTACAGATAAGAGCTCACCACACAAGGAATCCAGAGTAGATAAACCTCTCAGGAGCAGAAATGGAGTAGTGATACCAGGAGGGTAGGGGGAAGGTACAGGGAAGAGGGGAGGAAGGGGGAACCGACTGAAAGGATCCACATGAAAGACCTGGTGAGCTGCTGCCATAAAGATTATCGCCAAGAACATGCTATGGAGCATTTCTACTCTCACATGGGGGGTGGCCATGAGTCAGAATCAACGCGACTACAAATGTACTTGGTTTTCTGGGGCAGGTGGTTCAGTCGTAGGGTTATCCCTTCTATGTGCCAGACTCAGGTTCAATTCCTAGCTTAATTCCAGCATGCTTGTTTCTAGGACACAGAGCAGGTTTCAGCGGAACTTCTAGGCTAAGATGGACTAGGAAGACTAGCCTGGGAAACTGCTTCTGAAAATCAGCCAGTGAAGGAAAACTCGATGGAGCACAACTGATCACAAGGATGGTGCAGTATAGATTGGGCAACGCGTTGTTCCGTTGTTCATGGGATCACCATGAGTCCAGTGGCTTGGACAGCAGCTAACCGTAACAGTCAATTCTTTAACCTGCAACGTGTAATAGGTAATGTATTCTGGAAGGAGGGGCTTGAGCTCAGGTGGCAGGGTTCAAATCCCTACTCCCCACTTTCAAACAAGTTCCTGCCTTTCTCCGGTCTCAGCTTTTCTATCTGCACAATGGAGACAATTGCAGCAACACTCACCTTCAAGGGTTGTCCTGAGGATAGATGAACTCATACACCTAGGTCCTATACTAGGTGGCTGCATATAGTGTATCCATATAGAATGTTCCACACACATGACGGACGGAAGAGAAAACTGAGGCACGGAGTGATCCTGTGACTTGTCCCAGACTCGGTGTTACTAGTAAACAGCAGAGCTGGGATCTTAAGACCTGGCTCTGGAGCCTGGCCTCAAAACAGGACTCCTCCGAGCGCCCCTCTGTCCTCAGCCTCTTGGATGAAAATGTGGGTTCCCTCTACTTTCTCTCCCTCCCCTCCTAACATGTAGCTTCCCCTAGGGAGATAGGAAATTTTCTCCACTGACCATTGTCCTGTTCTATGTTTATTTCTTGGGGGAGGCCTCTATTTCAAACACAAGACAGCAATCATCCTTCATCACCATTTATTGAAGCCCGATGTAGTGTCATGTTCTGTGCCACCAGATGGCGGCAGTGAGTACAATGGATGCTACATGTGGCCTAGACTGACTCTCTCTCTCTCTCTCTCTCTCCCCC